GAGTTTTCAATGGTTGGAATTAAAGTAAGCTTTTCTGGAAAATGTCAGCCACTATGTCATAACATTAATATCTACTATTGCCTTTGTCCTTCACTGTCTTCTTAAAAGAGTGCAAGATCAACAAATACTCACAGTTCAGTGTTGAGACAGCCTTCCTCACCTCTCACTCGGGGCAACTAGAAAAAGACAACCAAAGAAGACACAGCTAGAGTGAATTAAGTCTTTGCCATATGCAACTTTTATCTCTGTCACCTGGACTATAACCAGTCTGAATCTCCTATGGTAAGAACTTACTATTATCTGTCTTCCGTTGTTTCTGTCATATATTCTGCTGTAGATTTGAAGTTACTGTGATACCAACTGCATTGTTTCATATCTTAACTTCCCATAGTCATTATAATCCTACTTAGCACTGTTCTCAGCACAGACCCACAGTTACCTTCACCTTCACCACAGGTTTCCCTTTCCCCACCACAAGCTATGTCATGCTACAGATGTAGATCCTTCTCCATGCTCAAATATTAAGAACATTTAAATGTCCTGCTTCCTATTATACCCACGCTGACTTGAATTCTGCTCTGTACCTCCAGCACTCCTACCCTTCTCATTTCTTTTTCTTTGGGTACCCTGACCTCTGTGTTACCATCCCTGGAATAGCAGCAAATACTCTTCTATGTGTCCGTGTCCAGTTCTTTCTAATATCAGGGAAATGATTGTGACTATCAACTGCTAATGCCCCTCCATATTTTCAAGGTAACTCCATAACTGAGCAGAGACCCCCTAAAGAGGAACCTGAGATGTGACTTACCCACAAGAAACAACCTAAAACAAAGCAGATCACGACTGGGTTATGCATCCCCGTAGGGTGGTTCTGTGGCCTCTTGGTGTCTCAAGCTGCTTGGTATCTTCTTGTCCTTTCTAGTTTCAGTTTGTCCTCACCAGTCCACTGACCAGGAGAAGGAGCAGATTCCTTGTTGTGTGCTGAATCCAATCTCTTCTTCCTGCTCTACCTTTTTCTGTCCTCCTCTGGGTTTATCCTTCTTCTCTGCTGTTCAGGTTTTTGCTCTCTCATTCCCCCTTTGTCACTGGCAATTCCTGTTTGTTTCTGCCTGTCTCCTTATGTTATTCTCTTGGCCTGCTTCTCTCCCTCTTTTGAAGTGATCTCTAAAGCCTTCCAGTCAGATCAGGAGAAAAGTGGTGGCTACGAGTTCTTACTTTAGATGTTGAACTAGTTTAGTGAAGGGCATCATGAGATCTCTGCAGACCTGACCCTTTCCTTCTGTTGAGCAGAAAGGATCTCTGAGTTTGTTCATTCCCAATTATTCCTCTCCCCGCCCCTACCCTGAGGGGGGTGGGTTGAAGGTCATGTTATTGACCTGTTCAAATGGAGTTCAGATTCCTCTCCCTCCTCCAGTACCCTTTCTGCTCCTGCACTCACATTGTCTATTGACTTTAGCCATATGATCAACATCCAGAGTGTATGTTACAAGTGAGATGTCCCTGATGAAGCAAAAGAGTTTGCAACATAATTATATACAGCATTTTATATATATGTATGTGTATGTATGCAATGTATATATACACATATATGCATATATATGTTTGCATATGCAACACCTCTCATATCTCCCATTTTAAGGCTCTGCCACCATCCCTCTTACCTGATAGTGTCCTGCTCTGTCAGTCCTGCAGCTGACAGTCTGCTCACTCACAAGTCCCACTCCTGAACTTCCTGCATGGCCAGCAAAGTCCCCCCAAATACTTTGCATCACAGGGCATACATGTTCATTCTCCTATCCTGGATACTATTTGTCCTGCAGCTGATTAAATTAGTAGGTTCCATTTAATGACCTATTCATTTTCTCTGTCTTGTAGAACTGCTTTAGATTTCTATTACTGCTTGCTCATGGCTATTCAGAATGCTATTACATGCATATAATTGTGTTCACCTTCTCTTTCTCTTTACCTGAGATAGAAAATATGCTCTGCAGTAATGCGTTACTATTTGGGAACCACCTGAGACTGGTGAATAAATATATGTTAAGGGCAGGATAGCAACTAGAGAAACTTGCTGCCCCATGTTGCAATCACAATGCATTCACATTAAACTGGTGAATCATTAGCCTTGGTGTTGCATATTAGAGTTGCAGACCAGAACCAATGGATTCATGAACATAATGTATTCTCCCAAGGCAGGCTAAAAACCATTTACCATTCTCCAATTATAAAAGTAGTAATGCAGTATAAACATGCCTTAGCATGAGTTTATCTATCTATCTGTCTATCTATCTCTCTATCTATCCATCCATCCATCCATCCTAGTCTACTACTGGAAAAAGGCTTCTGAGTCCTGGTGGACAAATAAGAAACATAGAAACATGAGCTATTGGCTTTGTATTTACATGGGAATTGCCCAATATTCTTTTTGTCTCTTTCTCCTTAAATTCTTTTGTGTATTGAAGAAGTTTTAGAAGAAGAGAACCAGCAGAACTGTTAAATAGCCTTTCTTGTATGCATGGCTTTTAAAACTAGTGGGATTGAATGTGGAAAAGAAGTTCAAATTACCAGTGTTTTTCAGGGGCTTTTTATTATCAGTGTGATAAGTCAATAGATTATCACTTGATTTTAACTGAAATTCAGTCTCATGAGAATTTCATCAGCTGGATCAAACTGGAGAAATAACAGAAAAAGTGATAAAAATTCTCTAAAGAAAAAGCAGCAGTGTGACATGAAACAGTGACCCCTGCAAAAGCATATAACTCATTCTTGCTGAAACTTACTGATCATTCTTTTTCTATTTCTATGGCATTGGCATTATTACTGTGCTTCCAGTAATCCACCTATGCCCCTGCTAGCCTATCATCCAACAATGGTTTAAATTTCTCCAAGTTTCTCTGGCATTTTGCCTCAATTATCTCAGTATTTTATTTTTCTTTGTTTTTACGTTATATTGAAGTGACTTTTTCGTATTTGCCCCTTGCCACCTTTCAAAAGGTTTTAAAAATGTGATCAGACTCTTACAGAACTGCTAAAACAAACAAAAATATCCCATCATTGACCTCTCTGCTCTTTGTGATTGTTTAAAATCTAAAGGTCCATTCCATAGTAAGCTATGTGATTTCAACATATCCTTCCTTGGACGCCAGAGAAAACACATTGTGGTATGGACAGAAAAGATTTCTGTCCTCTCTGCTTCCCTGTTTTGGTTGTATCAAGGGATGCCTGTCAAGCCTGTTCTGACTTTTATTTCCTAGGTAGCATGATCCTAACTGGGAGTAAAGCTTCTTAATGAGCTGATATAATGCTGTGTACTGCTCTTAGAAGTTGTTGAGAAATTGGTGCTTGTTCCCTGTTACTCTTCAAAGCACTAGAGCCAGCTTGATTATTCATACCCAATACTTCCCCATGGGCATTTGGAAATGTAAAATATGGGGACACTTTTGGGGCTTACAAGGACCCCTGATACTTTTTTGCGTGTAGACAGGCATTAGCAAAGCTTTCATGTGTTTTACACTGGATAATGATAATCCAAAAGGGCTCTGTTGCTTGTAAAACAAAAGCACATAATTTTTGAATAAACTGCATATAAAGAAGCAGAACACTTCCTCCCATATGCCATGCTCTTTTCACTGAGGACATGAGGGTTGTTACCGCCCCTTGACAGAAAATGTGACAGAGAGTTTGAAAGCAGCAGCTGATTAGAGACAGGGCAAGTCACCCCTGGAAATTAACATTTATTGGTCTATATGTGTCTGCCCAGATGCTGGAGTCTAAGTCACTGTGCTCAATTTTTCCACTGTATGATAAAAGTCTGGGAATGCCTTCTACCCTATACCTTTGATCTCCAGGAGCCTGGGGTTGGCAGAGGCTGCAAAGCCTTTGGTGAGACATGGTGTTGCGGCATAGTATTCTGTGCTACCTGGTGTTCATCCTTCCTCCCAGTTTCACAGCTGGTGAGACCAGAAGTTCTTGGGCTGTGTGCAGTAAAGCCATATGAGATAAAACTGAAAGTTCAGGTCTCATTCCTGTCATTTTTCCAGCAGACCTAGAAATACCAGGAAATGTAGGTCCAGTTAAATTTCTCCATCTTATTCCTAGTGCTCAGAATTTGAGAGAGCATGGTGCAGGCACTTAAGGTGGCAGGTAACCCCTTCTTGGATGCAGCGGCAGCCCTAGTGCACTGGCATGCTGCTGTGCTCTGCTAATCACTCTTGCTAAAAGGCAGAGATTATCATGTATGACTTTGCCTGGACTGCTTTCAGGCCAGAGCCACTCCAGGAGCACAGCACTATACTCTGGTACATGAATTTTCTACCCAAACTCCCCATTAGTTCAGTAGATTTCTTCGCCTCATTCACTTTTACAGTACAGACATACTTGGAACAGCAGCTGGGAAACCTGGATTCATTTCTTACCCCATTACCCCATCAGGACAAGTGTGATGTGCTTACCAGCAATAAGCAAACGGGATCAGTATGTTTTACCTCCAGTCCTCCTGTGCCACTTGAGAGATCGAGAAGCTCTTCTGACTGAATTTAGTGAATATTAATTACTGTATAATAAAGCCAGGAAACAACCTCCCCTGTGGCTGAAAAACTTCAAGGAACTGTTTAGACTTAATCCAAAATTAATGTAATTTCCTCTTTACCTCTTCTCTTCCTTCTTTTTCTTTCTACAGAAGGGCTGTACTCCCAAATTGGGTACCTATTTGCAGCTGTTCCAGGAACTGGGAACTGTGGGATTCCATGCCCCGTGGCATTTTTGCACCTGCAGGGGATTTAAATACTATTCTGGGACTCTGCCGCATGTAAACAACCCCAGGCATCACTGTGTCATGAAATCATTTAGTATGAGCCAAAAAAACCCTTCTGACTTTTGCATGAATCACTCTGTTAGCTCCCAATGACACCAACCATTCGTCTGATCCCAGACAGAACCTAATCCCTGTTTCTCCTGTGGGAGCAACCAAACTTTTGAATTCTCCTGTAACCTTGCCAGAAATGACGAGTGAAGAAGTGACATACGCAGACCTGAGGTTCATGACACTGGAAAAATACCGGGATCAGGAGCTCCAAACCACGAGAGCAAAAGGTAGTGGTGGTGCTGGGGGGGTGCAGTTCTCTCCAAGGCAAACTCTCACCTCGGAGAAGACTTTTTTTTTTATGTGACACTCAGAGGAGGATGCCACCTACCAAGAAGCATCTTGGCTTCTGGGAGCCCTTTGGACTCAAATCTTCTAAGAAATTGGAGGGAGAAAAGAAAAAAGGGAGGAGATGATTGAAAAAAATGGAAGGGTGGAGAATATGGAAAAACTGTTTAGATTTGAGAGCAGAGATATAATTAAGGTTGTAGGATGCAGTTAAGTAAAAATAAACATGTTCCAGTTAGGCATTAAGTGTCAGCTCTGTGAAGTTAGTGAAGTAATCTACGTAAGGGACCTTGCAAAAGTCTTTCAGCTTTACTCACTTAAATTTAACTGAATGAAGTAAATGCTAGGGAAAAAAATGTGTTTTCTCTCAAGGGAAGAAACAGATGGACAAATACCTTTTTGTACCTAAAAATAATAAAAATTATGCTACATAGCTTCACAGAGGAAGGGAGGAATGTGGCTGATCCCAAATCTGTATTCTTTATGCTATGCATTAGTGCTTCAGAATTGCTCTGTATGAAAGGTAGTAGCAAAACAAAGAGATGTTATGTTACAGCCTGACTAAACATCTGGAGATAAATTGGATAAATTTTGTAATAGTCTAATAGATTAACGAGCTCTTTCTGAAGGAAATTTCCCCTTACTGGCTAGCCAATGATTATCTCATTCCCACTTTTTGAGAGGTCTTTGAGTTTTATACTTGGAGCCTGAAGCTGAACTCCCAGTAATCTAGTAGAGTTCTTCTCAGCTGTTGGGTTAAAGAGCGAGGGATCACAGGATATAAAAGGCAGAAATACCACAGGTTGTTATGCCAGTTGTTTCTGTTGGAGACTTCAACGTAAGTATTCCCATAGAAATTTCATACTGAAGTCTAATAAGAGAACACAACTATCTTAAATTGGAAGCAATCCTTTGCTCTGTCTTTTGGGGCTCTGTGTGAATTCATGCAGGTGTTTGCATCTGCCCACATTGCAAGAATGGATGTTTGCATTTCTAAGTGTGAGACTGTGTTTCTGTGCAGGTATGTGGTCTTGTTCACATCTGTATGCCCTAATTTCAGATTATTTTACAGGACATGGCTTTCATTGGTGAACTCTTCCTGAGATTATTTCCCGATTTGACAGGTTAGGCACTCAAAAGTAAAAATACCCCAATATCTGGCTGCATATGAAAATTTCAGCCATGTTGTAAGCACAAATACTCCTTGATGTTCTTTCTCCACATGTAAAATTCTGTGCTGTTCATCTTTATTTGTCCAATTCATTTTCTCTTAAAAGCTCCTGTCTAAGCTAGTCTCCATGGCCCCAACTCCTAAGGAGGACTGGCCATGGCCAAACAATGGGATAATTTTCATAATGTAATACCACACACTGGTCTGAAATTCAGCAATTCACTGGGCAGACTACCAGTCATGTTTTCTTGTGCAACGTAGGAGCTGCAGATACAAAGATGAGAGGTTCCTGTTCTTGCTGCTATTCCTTCTTTTTGTCTATCTCAGATTCCCCCAGTCCGTCTTCCTGCTGGCGACCAGCTACAGTGGTGCTTGGGGTCTTCTGCCTAAGTTCAGTGGTAGCTGCAGGAATCTTGGCTGCCAGGTGTAAGTATGGTCACAGAAAGGGTGCTCAGAATTCAGTATAAACAACTAAAAGTCTAGGAAATTAGTTAGGGAAAAGGATTAGCTGAGGGGATTAATGATGCAAAAAAGTGTTCCTTGCTGGAAGAGTTTACCCACTCCTAGTGGGTAAACTAGATCTCCTAGTCTTTGAAATTGGGATGTATTACGTCTTGCTCACAGGTGTGCACAAACTGTATGTAGGTCAAGTATGTTCAGTCATGGGGAGGTACGTGTGTCTTTGGTAGATTTATTCAGGTTGCATTGAGCAGTTTAGCTTTAATATTAATGGAACGATTTCATTCTTGTTTCACTGTGATTCAAGTCATCCTGGTCTGCCACCTTGTGTGTGAAAGGGATGAAAACTTCACCTTGCAAAAGGCAATTGTGGAAAGCCTCAACCAGCAGCTGGAGCTCCTCCAGGCTCAGAATTTGAACTTGACAGAGACTGTAAAGCAACTTGCCACCTCCAGAGGTACATAGTAGTGGGAAGATGGTGTTTCCATCGCATTATGGTAGCCACAGATTGATTTTTTTTTTTCTATCAACCGTATTGGAAAGAAAAATCAAAATCTCTAAAATTGCCCTGAATTATTTCATTTAAAAATGAACTTAAACCGAGTCAATCAAAAGGCTGCATTTCCATTTTCATAATTTTTTAGGTAAAAGTCTTTCTGAAGTAAGTTTATTGGATTTTTGTAATGGAGCTGGTTTATACCCTAAACCAAACATTTTAATTCAGAAAATACCATGATGATGACACTTTTTTAAAAAAAAATTTTTTTCTAATAGGTAAATTCATTGATGCTACTATTCCTTCTTTCATAGTCAGTTTCAGTGAATTATAATAAAAAAAAAATTCCTACTGGCTTTAATTGTCTGGAATGCTTTGACTCCTCAAGACAGCTTCATTCTGTTATGCAGTATCTCTACTAAATGGGATTGCAATCACTGGCCTTAACAGTTTATAGACTATATGCTGAGGGTATTTTTTCTCTTGTGCAAAATAATGGTGTGAAACTTTAATGATGGGTCAGCTGAATATGCTAGATTATCATATAGCAGAGAGAAGAGAATCATAATAAGTTAACACCTTGTGAGAGAGTGGCAAGGTTATTATCTATGTAAATGTCTGCATTTGAATTTAGCGCAAACCGGAAGCTACTTGTAAGAGTCAAGTGCGCTGTGCTGTGCTACCTATTGCCATCCAGCATCAAGTCCTGGCATTCCCAGCTGGCACTGGTTCGTTACAGTTTAAAATGGTCCAGTGAACTGTAGAGCAATGAACGTGATTCACCCTGTAGTTGGGATCCAGTTCCCAGAGATCTCCAAAATATTTTGTCTGGCAGATCTTTTTGCTGCTTGCGATTATTTCAGTTTCCAACTAGAAATGGAGTTCCCCAGATGGTGCAAGAGTGCAAGAAAAATCCAACATTTTGAGTTCTTCCTGAATTCAGTATTACTCAGGGTCCCAACAGGCAGCTAACAGAGTAAGGTGGCAGAAAAGAGTCAAAGTGCAGCTGTCAGAAAGGTATTTTCTTTAACAGCAGTGGGCTCATTATCTTTCACTTTGGCTGGCCATCACTATCTGATGGCTGCACACTGAATCCACAGCAAGTATGAAATGCTATCAGAAAAGTTAAAGTATAAATTGCAGTGTTAAGTATATAGCAGGGAAGAACTGGCCCTGATGTTAACAAGAAGTTAAAAGTAAGTTCACCCATGTGACTGAAAGTCTAGGTTTCCTTTTACATCCACCTAGATCCATGTCTCTCTGAACATGGCTCAACCTTCCAAATTTTCCTCTATTTGTGTTTTACTAGCACCCTCCATGTTTGCCGTTCAGATTTTAAAAAAAATCTTTATTATTTGTTTTTCTAATTTTAATTTAGAAATGTTTTTATGGTCTGGCAACTGGGTTTATTAAGTCTCCAGTGAAGATAGGAATTTAGCTGCAGAATGAAGGGGGAATTGTTGCTCTTCTGTGATAGAGAAGCTGCGCACTGCTCTAGTGATTTTGCAGGGATCCCCTAGAGACTGCCATCACTGACAAACCTGATCAGGTGCTCTTTTGTTTTCAAGGACATAAATGCATTCCTTGTCCTGAGAACTTGCTACAGTATGGGGAGGACTGCTACTACTTTTCAAAGGAATGGAAGACTTGGCAAGAAAGCAAGGCTCAATGCTCTGCTCTGGATTCCAGACTTCTTAAGATAGAGAGTAAGGAAGAGCTGGTAAAGATTATTTCTTTTTCTCTCTCTCTAATTGTATACTCGGCATTTTGCTGTGGCCTGAACAGCCACTCCATCCTTCCACTGGTGCAGTATGCTGTGGCATGCACGGGCTGGACCAAGTAGCAAAAACTGTCTATGCCCCTTTGGAGCCCCTCTACCTGTACTGTGGCTGCACCGTCCCTCGGGCATCACTACTCACTTCAAGGGAGTTAACTGTGACACACCAGCTTGGGTCCACATATAGATCCTCATCCCATCTCAGGGAAAATATAACTGAGTCCTGGTTGGCACCTCTTTTGTTGTCTTGGTTGAGCAAGCTATTTAGCGATCATCAGAAGCCTGGCCTTCAGCTTCTTGCTGTCCACAGCTAGAAAGCTCACTGACCTGGCCTGCTCCCTTGTCTCTTCTCCCACTTGACCAGAAGATGATTCATATCTTTTTTTGGCTCCTGAGTTGTAGATGAAGCAGCAGATAAAGCACAGCCAGAAGAGCTCTTTGTTGTGAAGGAACTTCAACCCAGACTCTTAATGTGAATGGGATTATGTCTTGAACTCTGTGGTTTTATTGTCTGTACTTTGAATTTCCTGGGTACAATGATAGCAACAGATGCAAAGGCCTTTTCCTGCGTGACTTCTGCAACCAGAGTGTTGGAGGAAGTTGTTATCCTCTGCTCATTGCCTAGCTAATGTGCAGGCTTTGGTTATCTCAATTGTCTTTTTAGCTGAGAGCTACTGAAAGCTCTCAGCAGGTTCATTTTCCTTGTCTCCAAAACAGCACTGGCTGCCAGGAGTAGGAGGCACTGCCCAGATTTACTTGTGAAACAAAGTCTGTTACACACAGGTGTGAGCAGCGTGCTTTCATTTGCCTCTCTCCTTTTCCAAATCATAGGCTGTTACGAGTGAAGCAGTGATGTGATTCACAGGCTTTGTATTTATTTCCATACAGGACTTCATAATGCGATCAGCACAGTCTTACAGTTCTTACTCTTTCTGGATTGGGCTGTCTCGCAATGGAGCTGAGGGGCCCTGGCTGTGGGAGGATGGATCAGCTCTCTCCCCTGATCTGTAAGTCGCTGTGCAGGTAGGAGCAGACCACGTCTATGCGTATTTGTTACGAGCCAGAAGCAGCAGCCTTTAGCCACTACTCAGTAATTGCCTGTCCCCCTGCCTGTTTGCCAGTAGGTAGGTTACCCATCACTTGCTTATCAACCTAGGCAAGCCCTCATCAGAGAGCTTCTATGCAGTCGTGAGTCAAGTGGGTAGCAGCAGTTGGGAATTATTATATCATCCTGTGACTTAGACTGAGCTTGGACCTCCTCTAAGCTCAGGAGTGATGCATCCC